AGAGGAACATGCCTATGTACTAGCTCAGCTGAAACATATAAGCAATATAATGATAGAAGAGGCCTAGCTAGGTTTTACTAGCAAACCAAAGAATAATCAAGTCACTGGGAAAGATAAAAATCAAGGAGTTCAATGGAAAAGGTGGAAACCGTTCGGTAACAAATGTACACAGCACAAATTAGCTGAACGATATCAGCAAAAATGGGTTTCAAAGAACTCAGCTCTGCTAATTCACAAAGCCAAAAGATCAACTGTGTTTGTCAACAACGGGTATTATTGTGCGCACCTTAAGAGTAAGGGAAGAACTCCAAGGATGGGTGTTGGCAAACTATATCCATCATATCATGATTGGGCTATGACTTATCACATGTCAAGATAAAGGCAAAGTCATAGGAGGTGCCCTAGACCTCATTATACTTCCCGGATGCACCAAAATTTTCAAAAACCCTCAAATAATTTCTAAAATGGTGCACCCAAAAAGTTTTATGAATTTTCATTTGATTATGATCTTAAACGAGAAAGAAGAATGCCTCAAGCACCTCATAATGGACTAGGGCTATTCTATAAACCCAACAAAACCTACTACTGAATAGTTATTAAACTTATTAATCTTAGCATTTCAATTAGTTTACGTAGATTAATTATTTAGAAACTTACCAAATAATTATTAATCATTCTTAATTTAGGAACCGTTGTAATCAACCCTATAATAATTAATGTCATAATCATAGTAATGACTAAATATGTAAGTAGATAATGGTGACAATGTGGTTGTAGTGATATATAGCTAAATAGATTATAATAATTATGTTTTCTATTTAGAAAACAATATTTAAAAGTTTTTTAGTTTCTATAAAGATGTTTTCAATTTTTAAAATGAAAAATTGTGATATTAACATGTTTTCTATTTTCTGTTCTTCAATTCTCTAATTTTTTAGAAAACTAGAGAAACTCTCTCATTAGTATACGGGCCTAGAATTCTACTATCTTGCAACTGGTTAAATCTAATGTCCTGACCCAAATCTCTCACATCAGTGACAACAACCTCCATGTTAGGCAATCTCTCCTCCAATCCTTGAACTTATCCGATCGATTCCTCAACAGTCTGCTACAATCTGGAAATATCCTTTAGCAGAATCCTCAGAAGAAGTTTTCCTCATGATAAGTTCGCATTTGACCGCATTTTTTCCCATACTTAAATCCAATTTTATGCCCAAAATGTAACTATGATGTTCAAAATAAGTCTTATTTTTTTTGTTTGTACATTTACACACAATTTCTTTTGCTCAAAGCAAAAAAAGGATAATTTTCATGCATTTTGGAGGATGTTAGAATCAATTGTGGATAAGGTCCGTCGATAGCATAGTCTGCCAACTATAAAGCTCCAACAACAAGGTCTGCCCCCGATTGAGATCTTTCAACTACAAGGCCTAGCAAATACTAAGTCCTGATTTTAGTCTATGCTCTACATCCTTAAAAATATATCAGTTAACATCATCGAGATCTATCAAAGATAATTTCTAGGGGGCGTTTGGTTCACGGAATCTTGGATTACCCCAGGTAATAGGATTACCTCCAAGACGGTAATGTGAGATGTAGGGAATGTAAGATTACCTTGTGTGTTTGGTTTGGATGGTGTAATATAATATTACCTTGTTTGGTTCAAGGTTATATTTTAGATTATATGGATCAATTTACAATAATGTCCTCAATAATATATATATATATATATATATATAATGTGTGTATTTATTTATATGTATGAATGTATATCAATGCTTAAATATTAAAAAAACTAAATATATAAATATACATATGTATATTTGATTATATAAACATATATTAATTTCATTATTATTATTATCATTATTATTATTATATAAGGATTAGTTAACAAGGGCAAAGTTGGAATAATTCAAGGTAATCTAAGATTACCTAAAAAAATGGGGGTAATCACATTAACTTGAAACATTACCGCCACATCAGCTTTCAGGTAATGTAACATTACCAGGTAATCTTATAACTTGAACCAAACAAGATAATATAACATTACCAAACTCAGATTACCTACGTAATCTAAGATGACCTGAACCAAACGCCCCCCTAACACTTTTCAATGTGGGTGCCAATTTATTGTTTCTTAGAAGAGTTTAAGAAGTATAAGTTTGAAAAATATATCACAACTTATTTTTTAAACTCGTGACAAATAAAACTATACTAGATAAAATGAAATGAATGGGGTAACTTAACTAATAAATATAAAACATGAAAATATGAAAAAAATAAAATAAAATAAAATTGAACAAAGTTGGTTTTAAAAAAAAAAAAAAGAAAAAAAAAAACTAATTAAATTAATTATTTATGAAAATTTTGTTTAAAGACGAGAGACCTCAACCATAAATGTCCAATTAGCTATTAGCCACTAATCATCATATTCCATTGCTGTTCCAGCGGGGGTTAGAGATAATCCCTATAATGTCGTCCCATCATTAAATTTTTGCAACCTAACTTCTATCCCTATCCCTCGACTATCTATATAATGCATTGCTCATCTCCACATTCCACATAATCCAAAGTTGGGGAAACAATAGCTTGGAAGGGCACTATTTAAATAATACACAATAATATTTATACCCTTTCTTGCAAAACCATTTCCTTTTAACTCCCCAACATGGATTCCTTAACCAATGTTTCTATTATCATTACCATTTCATCACTTTTATGTCTCCATACAATGGTTTCACCAACCACAGCCGGTCCCTTATCACGCCCGAGCCCGAACGTCAAGCTGATTCAGAAAGCTTGCAAATACACCGTCGACCACAAGTTGTGCCTTGACTATCTCTCCAAAACCCCTCGAGTCATGTCGGCAGCCGGGAAGTCCCCATTGGCGTTTGCCGGCGCGATTGCCGAGACGGGATTGAACTATGCGCAGCGGATGCGCGGCTACGCCTCGAAGAAGGGCGCGAGGAGCCCCGCGGTGAAGTCAGCCTACGGCGAGTGCGCGAAGCTCCTTGGCAGCACGACCCTGCAGCTCGAGTTGGTAGTCAACGTCCTTAGACGCCCCGGCGCGTTGGCTGAGGAGGGCGCCGGCGAGGACGCTAGCTACTCGCTTATGGTCTCCACGGATGGGCTCAGAGGGTGTAGCGAGAAGCTTGCTGCCCTTAGGGTTGAGGATCATTATATGAAGGCATCGGCGAAGCGCGTGAAGATTTGCAGCATTGTTGCGAACAGCATTTTGACCGACCTGACGCCGTGAATTAAAGAACATCTAAACTGTCGAATTCGAAGAAGGTATTTATTGGAGTTGGACGTTGGAATCTTGTACATGTGCGATGGTTCAATTCGGTGCTAAATGTTATTAATGCAAATTAATTTGCTCCTAAATTAATGCGCCTGTTCTTGAAATAACAACTTTATTTTATTTCTGAGAACTCAAAAATTGCCTAACTAATATCAGAGAGCCTGAAATCTCTATTCCCTTACAACAAAGGGATAATTCATTCTCGAAAACAATATTTCCAGAACAAAAATATTACCAAACAACAACGGAATAGACTTGATATTTCAGGTCTATTTCGTTTTGGATCTGAAAGGAAGGGTGACCAAAAATGATCATGCCATAATAATACTATGACAAAGTATAGATGTTCTGATAAAAAAGACTAAAAGTGGACTGTCACCTATAAATCTAGAACCAAAAATGAAATTAACGTTCCTTACACAAAATATTAGAATTATGCGAAAGTTTCAATGGTTTGGGAATTATGCCACCTAATCTAATATTGATTGAATAACATATTATATGGACAAATTGAACTCAGTGAAATTGGTTTGATCAGCGCAAATAACAGCTTACATCTAAAAGTAACGATTAATCAGCATAATAAAAATAGAGAATAAAGTGACTCTTTGTCATTGAATTGGGTCATGTGCTTTGCATAGTATAAAGAGCGACGACAGAGCGTTTAAATTCTCCAACCATATATATAAAGTATATTCGTTTCACCATTACGTTTAATACTGTAAAGTATCCTCATCAATGCAATACATGCATGGTTCAAACTTCAAAGTACGATACAGATTTTGATTGGTATATAGTAATGTTTATCACTTTCTTATTGATAATCAACCTGTTAAATTATAGTTAACAATTATTAGTTGTTAAAATTAGATAAAAATATTCAATACTTATTTAATTGGGATGACAAAGAGCTAGGGGCTCGGGGTATAAACCCCAGCTGGTTGACTTAATATTATAATATTTAAGTAAAAATTCAAATACTTAAATCTTATCAATTCTCAATAACAATTGAAATCTCAAATATAATATTCAAAATGTTTTCACAATTAAGGAAGTCGCTAAGATAAAGAGAAGGTTGGAGAAGGTAAACCAAGGGGTTTGTGCTGCTCATGAGGGTTTATGCTACTGGATTATTGCATAAATTTTGATTGGAAAGACACTAGGCAAGCAATGTTATTCTACATGAAATTGCACCGTGACACTTGAAAAACAAAAGTAATGTCGTTTAAGCAAGTGTAAATAATCACTACAAGAAAAATCACGAATCGCGACGGAATTTTTCCGTCGCGAATCACGTTTTGCGACGGAATCTATTCCGTCGTCTATCGCCTTGTCGTATTTTGATAGACGACGGAATAGTTCCATCGCAAAATATGGCGACGGAATTCGCGACGGAAAAAGGCGTCGCAAAATTGCAACGGAAATATTTCCGTCGCAATTCCGTCGCCATATCTAAAACAAACATTCCATCGCCATATCACTTTTCCGTCATATAAAAGAACAACGGAATTGTTTTCCGTCGCGATTCCGTCGCATTTTTTGAATTATTTTTTTAAAATTATATATAAATTATTATTTTTAAATAGTAATGAATGTTTTTACAATAATAATATTAATATAAAACTACAATAATATAAAAAACACTATTAATTCTAAAATAAAATACCACATAATTCTAAAATATTAAAAATGCACATTAATTTGAAATAATAATACATTATCAATTTAAAATATTATCAATCCACATAAAATTTAAGTAATACGTAGTAATACATTATCAATCCGGCTGCAACATGCAGAGGTGTCAAACCTGAAGGACCTAGTATATTAAGTCTAAACAAAAATCCACCACCCAGAGCCTCCTCATATTCCAGCCTCAGCGCATCTGCTACTCTATTTGGACTATATCTCAATAGTAGCTCCACCAAAGGCCTTGAATTTCTCCTAACAGCTTTGTGATGTAATCTTTCTGACTCAACTCTATCTCATTCTCTAGTGTTCAAATTTCGGAGCAAACATCCTCTTCAGCAACTATTAAAGGAAAGAAACTGCTATTAAAACCATCATAATCTTCGAACCTGTATAAATAAAGGTGATAGAGTGAGCATGGAACCTGCCTTGCCAATCACCTCTCTGAATAAGATCTTCTAATGCCATTTTCTAGGACACGGGATGAATAGCTGATCACAAAATAAGAAGATTAAAAAAATTATTCACCTCTATGAAGCCTCTACCAGCTGCTTCAGGAAAAGAACATGTAAAATTTACAGATTGGATTTCATGATGCTCCTCAAGCTCATTACTATGATTCCTCCTCTATACTGGCTTCTGGAACAAGATAGTTCCCTTCTAATGCACAGTTGTAGCCTGGCAAAAGGAATTCGAGAAAAAATAGCTCACTTAATAGAAAATAGAAAAATAAATCCATCTCAGATTAGGAATTAATAAATAAATCAAAGGAAAAACAATTTTTTTTCCTACTCCTTTGCAGGGAATGGGGTGAACTATCCAATGAACATTTAATGTGAACAAATCACTGCACAATAATGCTATTTGGTTCTGCACCCTAACATAAATACATTCATTTCTCCATTAGATTTCATGCTTAGTTAACAGTTATCATATATCAAAATAAGCTAATTGTTACTAACTTTTGAATTTTCAACTTTAACCTAGCTTATAAGTTAAGTATGCTAAACAGAACCTCAGTTGCAACCTAAGAGGATTTATCATTCACTATTTTCTTTTAAATATTACACAAGAAAGTTGACAGGATGAGCAATTACAATTTACACAAGCAAGAAACTTAATATACCCATCCCATTCTGTATAAATAGGGGGCACTTGTTACAAAGGCTCTTCAATTCACACTTCACAGCCAGCAAAATAAACCCAATAAGCTAACATCACAACACAAAAAGTATAATTTAAAAAAAAAAAATCAGAACAAAAAACAAACAAATAAATTAAAAAACCCTTTTTAGATACAACAAATTAAAAATAAAAATGATAAAAATAACAAGTACCCCCTATTCAATGGGGAAAAGATTACCATACAGCTGACTTGCTGCTAAAGACTGCAGTCCCATACACTTGCAAACTGTAGAAATACTTGACACTATTATGATGAAAATGACAGAAGGAATGTAAGAGAGATTTACTTAATAACCAAAAAAAAAAAAAAAGAACCTGAACATATGTATTTGCTGCAGTTATAATTTATGCATTCCTTGCCCCCGTAAAAGCTGAATTCCACATCAATAAATTCATCAGTTGCCAGGTTGAATATGCTACTAATTAAGATCATATGACCAAAAGAAGTCCTCAAAAATATTACTATTACCAGTTAGACCCCATGGACCGAAGAATATTGTAAAGAAAAGTATTAAAACACCACATGTCAATGCAATAAAAAGCAAAGTGGATATTTGGTGTTGAACTTCACTTTTATCCTGCATCACAGCCAAAATAACCTATATGGACTTCCTCTAGATGTGTAATATACTATTATGTAGAAAATGACAGTATGTATATATTCTGTACTCATACTGCAATATAATGCAATAATATTGCCTTACATATATACAGTGGACTATTTAAGCCTTAAGTAATTAATGCTTTTTTTTTAAGGCAGATATGAGCATACAAAACGGCTTTTTAGCCAAGCTAAGTCACATCTCACCCTTAGGAGCCCCACTACTTACTCATCTAAAGGATTAAGGATTAATTAGGATCCTGCAGGCATCATTAGCATGCTTTTAATTTAGTTAACATGAAAGATAAACATCACCTCTTACACAGTTTTAAGCACAAGAACAAGAATAATTGGAGAATTTACACAGTTTTAATTTACACAAGCACAATTACAAGCACAAGCACAGTTTTAATTTACACAGTTTTGTCATTTGCATATACATTAACTAATATAAATACAAGTTAGTGGGTAACTCCCTCCACATTCCCTTTCTCTAATCACCCTACACAAAAAGGCTAAATCACTTTCTATTTCCATCATATGATATCAGTAACTTTTAAACAATCGTCAAAATTCCTGTATCACTATTGCTATGGCTGTTGTTAATAAAGAGCCTTCTCTGGTAATGTAATTCATTGAAATTTGTCCATTCACAAAAGAAGCTTTATTTACTCTCAGAGCCACAACAGAAAATTTTCTTTTAATTCTACATGTCAGAAGGCAAGCCTGATATACTTATTTGCAGAACTTATTTCATCACGGAGCCACCTGATATACTGTATTGTAATATTGAATAAGTAGTATTCATTCTATAGTGCATCTTAGAACTACATTTCACGTTTTCTTTCCTGGATAGGGCATAAAAACGTACTGGTATACAAGGGAACTTTTAAACAACTCAGTCATTCAGATTCCAAACAAAACAAAATATCCAAGTGCATAAATTAAAAATTACAGTTTTAATTTTCCATCAGAAATCAGAAAACCAGAAAACATTCTCGCAATGTAATTTGAACTGAAAAAGAAAAAAAAAAAAGCTAGAGAAATACCAGTCACAAATTAATGGAGGAGGAGGCTGCACGGCTACGGAGGAGGAGGGCTGCACGGCGATGGTGTTCTGCGATGGTCAGCGTGGAGGAGTTCAGCGAGATGGAGTGTTCTAATTCTGAGAGATGTTTGCACGCACTTAGGGTTACAAACTTTTATATTATTTTAATTTTAATTTTAATTTCATACTCAAAATGCCAGCGTTTATGTTAAAGAAAAATAAATTTTAATAAAACTATTTTGCGACGGAATCTAAGTGGTCGCAATTTCCGTCGCCATATTTAGTCCATAATCTAAAAATTAATTCATTTAAGGACGGAATCAAGTCGGTCGCAAATTCCGTCGCCATTTCGCGGCGGAACACAAATCGGTCGTCTTTTCCGTCGCAACATAGACGACGTAAATTACTTCCATCGCAAATTCGGTCGTGAAAATTTGCCGCCAATATTTCGCGGGCTTTATTTTATCTTTGCGCCAAGATTCGCGACGGAATTTAATTCCGTCACCTATTCCGTCGCCATTTCGCAACGGAATGTATTCGGTCGCTAAATGGCGATGGAATATAGTCCGTCGCGATTTTCCGTCGCGATTCGTGATTTTTCTTGTAGTGAATAACTGCAGATCAGAAAGCATAAAGTAATTTAAAAACACAAAGAAATTGTTACGCAGTTCGGAGCTCCTTCTCCTACGTCTGCGGGGCAACACACGTCTGCCCAATCCACTATAGATGTTCACCAAAAGGAGTATTACAAGAGGTAAATATAGATGGCCTCCAGCCTTTACCACTACCACTCTTTCTAACACCTATCCAGGACTGACACACGAATACCCGAACAATCTTCACAAGATACTTCAGCAGTACCACGTACTAGTCATGTAGTACAGATTAAATATTCTTAAAGATTAAAAATGGAACATAATAAAATATGAAGCTTTGTAAATCAGATGTGTGCTCAGAATCTTAATCTTCAAAAATCAGCAATGTCTTCTTTCGAACAGCACCCTTTTATGAGCCTTGTTTGTGATCCTTAATCATAGCCTTTACTTGGTTCGAATAATTCGTAGCCACACATTTTTGTCTCTTTGAAACCTTCATGCGCTGACTTCATATACCATTGCATACTGTCCACTCACTTTGACATCACATGGTCCAAAACAATTCTAACAAATCTAATTAACTATTTAATTAAAACTAATAAAATCACTTACAAAATAAAATAGCCAATAAGGTTTTACCGTGTAAATAATTTTACACTTACAATCTCCCCCTTTGGCATTTTATTTGGTAAAACTTGAGTATCAAATACTTTGGGCAAGAATCAATTTAATTTTATTTATAGCCCTTAGTATAGGTACTGAACAAGACACAAAGGTATAATAACAAAATATAACAACTTAAGTTCTTTTTGGACCATTTGTGAATAGTGTACCTGATTAGAATTCTTCAAGCCTTGGATTCCACACAGTAGAATTGAATTCATAGCGAATTTCATAGCATACTACATCATAAATCAACTTGTTCATGTGAGTAGAGCATAAAACGAAACATCCATTCAACTTGTTAGGTGCACCAAACAAAACTACTACTCCCCCTAACAAATATAGTCCAATTATTTCCATAATGATTTAACAGAAAAACATCCAAAAATATAACCACTGCCAAATACTTCATCATAGTCCTATGACTTCCATAATAATCCAACACTTCCAAAAGATCCAAAAGTATCCAAAAATACTCCCCCTTACTCCAAAACTCCCCCTTTTTGCCAAATAAATGACAAAGGAAGGTGAACATCATAATAGTGGATTAGTTTTACCGTGCAGACGGGGTGCCCGAAACTGAGCCGCCAGCAGCATCATCAGTATCAGATATCATACACCAAGAAGATAAAGCCTTATAAGCAATCCCATCCAAAATATTCCTCTTAAATAATCTCATCAAGTAGATAATCCAAGAAGAATCCAAATAAGGTGATGATTATAAAATGAGACCCCAGAGATTATGATGAGCCAAATAAAACGATAACCCAACAAGATAATCCAAAAAATTGATAGAGTCCAGTAAGAGGATTCATATATACCCAAGAAAACCAATATAACCGAAAATACCCAATAAATACACAAATGGAATTTGTTCATAAGAGATTAAGAAGAACTCCCCCTCAAAATGTACATCATGATTGTTTCCTTTGCCCAAAAATTTTACATTAGCTTGAAGCTGTAATTGGGACTCCATAATAAGTTATTTGCTTTGTTTGAACCTGCAGAAGATTTTTTTTTTTTTTTTTTTTTTTAAAACGAGAGCCCTAGAGCCCATGCACACGCAACTTGCAAACAACTCAGCAAAACACATAAGAAAAAGATCACGAAGTTTCAATTTTCAATTCGAGTCAAACAGACTAGCAAATAAAATAGTAAGCACATTCATGTAAAGCAAGCCAAAGATTCAAAATAAATCAAATTCAGACATAGACACATATAAACCAAATTTAGGCACAGATTTAGATCATATATCACGGAAAACACACAAATAAACAATTGAGGCACAGATAGCGCGGGAAACACATGAATAAACACAAATACGGTCATGATCGGACCAAACAAACCACAATCACATAAACATAAAGTAACACAAGAGAATAAACACATTAATCAAATTGCACCAAATTAAACGAACAAAAAGGAACACTTTAATTCATGCAAATTAAATGAGCACTTTAAAGAGTAACCCAGGCAAATTAAATGAACACTTTAAAGATAAAAATTAAACAAAGAAGTAAAGAGAACGAATCCAGAATGATCAAATGTACCTGATGTGTGAATAGATTCAGAGATACACACATATAGAAGATGGAATGGATAATTCATGTTCAATTTTAAAGCCACTCACTTAAAATAAAAGACAAAATTCATCTTAGGCACATTTAAAAAACAGAAAAAAAAATATAAATGGCAAACGAAGACTGCGAAAGAAAATTGCCAGTAAAAAAAAATGTAACACATTAGGATTCTCAAACACGGGTATTGAGGTAATACCAATTAAAGGAGAAGAGTTAGAGTGTGTACCAACTTCTTGAGTGTTTGAAGCCTTCAAAGTACTGAGGAATTGTTCTTCGTTAAAGTCTTCTTCCTTTGTAAGTTTGCGGGACCCCTTTGATTTTGAGCCGGATGGAACTGGTACAGTTGGTGATTCAGTGAGGGCTCGTGACCGAGTGAGTCTGGGTGGAAGAGTGGAACCCCTCCTTTGATGCTTACGGTCAGATTGAGTTTCCACATCATCTAAATGAGACACCTTCCTCTTTTCTGCAGTACCTGAAACAGACAGTTTCTCCTTTCCCTTTCGGGAAGTTTTAGACAAAGGTACAGTGATAATGGGAACCGAGTCTTGGGTAGGTGAAACAGAAATGGGCGCATGTTCAGACTGAGTTTTAGAAGCAGAAATAGTAACGGAGATTGAAAAGGCCTAACAAGACACGGGTAGAACAGAATCAGAGAAATGCTGGGCAATATTGCGAATAGCAAAGGTAAAAGGCAAGGAATTCACCAAATCAGACAAAGTTACTAAATTTTCAGTACTTCTATGTAAATTGTGAGTTAAAGGATCGTATGGATCACCAGGTAAAGGTAGATTTTGTACGCCAAAATTATCATGAGATACGGTAGACACAAATTGATCAGGCAAAGAAACACTAAAATCAATTTTTCTAGAGGAAGATAGATAGGGCACAGAGTCTAAAGAAGCAGAAGAGACGAGAAATACCACACTGTGAGAAGATGCGAGAGACACAGGTTCGGGTAGAGGAGAAACCGGAGCAGCGGCTATCACAGGTGGGATTGTCCAGGGTGTAGCGGTGATGTACCGAGCCAGTGCAAGCATTTCTCTATGTTCTTTGGCTGTGAGCCCTTCAAGGAGAAATGCATCCGATTTGATAGTGGATAGAA